GTTTTCGCGTAAACGCCTTGCAACACAACGATGTTGCCATGTGCTATGTTAGACTTTTTATTTTTGTTCGCAAAATGAAACTTAAGTTTGTTAAGAATTTAAATTAACCACTTAACTCTAAATTAAGAATTAAAAACATACAATGTTCTTTAAAACCTTTTTTATCTAACTAAATCAATATGATTTATTTTTTCAAGTACCTACATTTTTTGCCTTATTAATGTGAAACACGGAATTGTGCGTGTATTATATAGTTTTGTGTGATAAAAAAAAACACAAAAAGAAACATTGTTTAAGTAAGTGATTTCACTTGTTCATAATATTCTAGAAGCATTTTTTCCAATGTTCTTTTTAATTGGAAAATTGGAAGTAGATTCTTTCATAATAAAAATGATACTCTCATTCTTCGTTTAAGAAAATCTTTGATATAAAACCGTTAAAGTCAACTTGTGAAAAAACCGATTCCTATCTACACCAGTTGTGTTAAAACGGACTAGATAACAGAAGCTATTCTTAATCTTAGTCAATATATACTTTATGATGATAAAAAGGATGAAGGGCGAAGGGAAGGTACAATAGTATGTTTGTTTATTAAAGGCGTTAAAGAATTCCAACGCGCGTTTGTATCGCGGCGAGGTAGTGACGTAGAGACGCGACAAGTGTGTCAATGCCGCTCTATGCCGTTGCACTATCTGTCGCACAAACTGTTATCGACCACTTCGATTAGAATTACATCAGAAGCTAACTACGCAAACTTAATTAGCATAAGCAGATAACAAAACCCACTTGTAGTTTTTTTAATACCCGTAAAAGACTAAAAGACTTGGTAAAAAAGCGAAAAATGGAAACAGGTAATATCCATCGATAACTTAAGTAATTAAGTCTAGTAATTTTACATGCGGCTTATACCTTAAAGCTAGTCAAGTAAACATTTGTACGAAAGATTAATAATGGCCCCAAGAGCTAGAGAATATACAAGTCTTTTTCATACATATTCAAAAATTTTCTTACAAAAACAAAACCTCTAGTTACAAACTTCAATGATCATAAATTCATTCATGAACGTAAGCCTCTGGAGGCGAGCGCAAACATTTTTGCATTTGCGCTTTGCGGTGTCAAATCGTGTTATCAAGTGCTCTCATAAAAACTGTTCCGCTGGAGATACGGCGGGCACGTCCTGGTAAATTGGTTAGTCTCAAGTAAAGAGAAAATATTGCTTACAGTAACCAATTATACATCTATAAAATTATACCTATCATGCGACAAAGTAATTTAATTTTATGCATAGCGAGCATTGCCAAGAAATTCAACCCAATAAGTGTAACATTTAAAATATTCTAAATATTTGAACCCAAGTTATATTTGAATACAGTAAAGTTTATATTGAGAGTTCACGCCCTAGATATTATGTTTAAATTGCAATTTATTTAGAGACATCTTATCTAGAACTTCTCTCAGTTTCTTTTGATGTTGTTATAAGCGTGACTTTCAAATGTTCAGTTTCTGCAACATACGTAGAACATAATATTTTCAAAGAAGTCTATTCAGCATACCGTGCCGCAATTTCTATATATTCTTAAAAGTTTTTGCCTAATTTTTTTTGTCTAAAATTATAATTTTAAAACAGGCTGTATTAATCAACAACAGCCGGTGTTTAAACTTTATAGTGGGCGTACATTTTTTAATTGCTATTGGTAATTAAGATCCGCCTAAAGCACACGGGCAATAACTTTTCTAATAGTTATTGGCTGTTGGTTTCTCCAATTAACATTTAATTACTCTTCGGTATCAAGTTAGTAAATATTTTGATGCACTTGGCACAAGCATACAAATTGAAAACTAAATTATCCCTTTAGGGAAAACAACAAAAATTGTACAAGTTTAATATTATCATTTGAACTTATACTAATTGTTATTGTAAAATAATTAAACTGAAATATAAAAAAATATAAATTACTAGCTTTCGCCCGCTACTCCGTCCGCGCGGAATAAAAAAAAGCAAAAGCAAGGAACCTATTTGTTCTTCCAGTCTATCCTCTACGTCTATGCTATTTTGCCAAAATTTCATCGAGATCCAATCAGCTGTTTAGGCTCCAAACTCTAACAAACATCCATCCATCCATCTAAACTTTCGCATTTATAATATTAGTATGATTGTAAGGTGCCTTCAAATATGTGGACATTTTTTCCTGTTTTGTTGCAGCGATAATCATTAAACGATGAACATTTTTAATAATTCAATAGCATTCACATACAAAATTAAAGGCATATTAATATTGTGTAAGATGAAAAGTACAGTTCAAGCGTTGTTTTTAAAGCGTTTTAATTACTATGTATTTGTGTCACAATTTCCTCGCGGGCTAATAAAACAACGTAAGAGCAGTAAGCAAAATATATTTCAAGGAAAACTTTGCGAGTGCTAAATGTCACGGTAGAGAAAAAGGATTCCAAGTACTTTTTTAATGGGCAAAGTTTCATTTTAAGTATCAACCTTTGTTTTAATTAAATTATTGTAAGTTATAAAATTCTACAACACTTTTAAATAGTTTTGGAATTTATTAAATAGCTTTTTATTACAGTTATTCAAAGTTACGAGTACGATGGCTTATAGTTTGGTTTGAAGGTAAAATCTCCTTATCAAGGAAATTCAGACTTTTCTATAAAAAAAATATTTGACTAGCAAAAATTCTCTTCATCTATATCTACATTAATATTATAAAACGAAAAGATTTGGATTTTTGTATGAATTGAAGAGAAGTATATTTGAATTTTTTACGCCAATCAATATGAAAATCGTTCGATATCACTCTTTATTCGGTAAACATTTCTATGTGATAAATTACATGCAAACACAAGACCCTAATTACAGGAGTTGTTTTAACCCGGTCATAGTCATATAAATATATCTCGGTGGCTATTTTTAACATTATTGTGAACAAAGCGCACTCCCATCTAGCGATGGCTCACGACTGAAACGCTGTCTCATTCACTTCCACATTATAATTAATTCTCAGATTAACCAAAGTTAAAGAAATACAGATTATAAAAATACATATAAACACTACAATTAGATGAAATAGGGAACTTACTGTCAGAATAGTTACATAAGGAGTCTCTTTGTGTACGATTCCCTTGTAAGGAGTCCCTAGTAACCTAAAGATGATTCTGAGGGTATCAATAAGTCCTATCTAATAAAAATTCCAACTTTACAAATATAAAAACAATTTAAGTCATATGAAATTGTTAAAATTAAGAAAACAATGTCAATATAAAAACATATGATGCTTACACAATACACAACAATTTATTGTGTCGGCGTCATGCGTGCACTTGTGAACCGAACCTGTCGCTCTAAAACAAGTTTCGGCGTTCCATACCAATGGTTTAAAGGCCAATACATGTTACAAATTATTGCCTAGTATGTTCATTATAAGCACATACACTGACTGTTCTAATCTCATGTATATTGAATTTAGAAAGAAAGGCAGAAATCATTAAAAAACCGAAGTCCCTTTGACACCCAAGTGGCTAATACGAATCGAATGACATCACTTGTAATCAGTTAAGGATGGTCACAATGGGACTTAAAATACAACCCGCATATGCATACATACAAGCGAAAATGATTACCTTTCTCAGTCAAAACACACATCATTAAAAGTTTATCTAAGATATTATAAAAGCTTCGTATAATTCTGAAGGTATATTGTTTCGCAAAACGAAAGTCGGGCATCGCCGTTACTGATATGGCATTCATCACGACCATGCCATGACAAGGCTGTCCGCATCATTTTAACCGATTTCGTAATTTCGAGATGACTAAAAAAAATTAACTATATGTCTTACCGCTAGACTAACTAAAAGAAAATAAAATCCACATACAAAATTAATTGGAATGAGAATGTAAACATACCATCTGTTGCTACTAGTATTTCGTCTACGTGAAATTAAAAAATAAAAACACATATAGCCTATGTTACGCACAGATTTCTAACAGTGAAATAATTTTTAAAATCGGCCCTATAGTTTTTGGGTTATTTCTTTCCTTTTTATAATATTATTATAGCATAGAAGGTGAAAACAGACTATTACGTCATATTTCGATATAAGTTTCCTGTATATTGTTGATTTACGATAGATAGTGTCAAAGAAAATAAAAAAGCTTTCAAAACACCAACAGCCAATATATTTGTGAGCGGTGGTAATCTCAAACGCTAACTTTACCTATAAAAGGGTACATAACATGATTTTCTAATATTTATGATACGTAGGCAGTATTGCTAAGAGCTTTGATACATAAATCAGAACTAAGTGTCACAGCAGGAAGTTAAAGTAAATAAAAAAATATTGTAGGTTAGAGCGTTTGCTTGAACGTAGTTCGCGCACTTAACTTTGCTTTACGAGGAGTCAATATCGGAAAAATGTTGGTCACACGTGTTCACTTCGTTCTGTAGGCGAACGTTAACTCTGTAATAACTTTTAACGGCAACTAAAGTTTTGATATTGAATAATTAATCTGAACGATTGAATAAATTATATATATAAAACTAAGAATAAAATATTTATAAACATTATTTTGATATTAATTAAACCTAACAATAAGTGTAGTTGGTACAGTTTTAATTTGACTATTCTAACACCAATAAAAGAAATTGACATTCTGAACTTATTAAAAATTGTATTGTTTCAGTGGCACTGGTGTTGGTGTTTATTAATATCATCGTTCGATAATTCACGAGGAGAGATATTCACACTGGGATACCTGACCGGCTCTCAGAGACGACCAGGCGATTTTACTTATGAAAGACCAGGACGAGTCATCTCAGGTAAGGCAGTTTCATCTATTCGTTGTTTAAATCGTCGAAAGTATTATGATGCTCTGTAAAATTGCTAACAATAGACATTTTCAAATAATAGTCATAATAATAATAGACTGTATTCACGTGAATAAATTTACAATATTAATTTTAATTATTAAATTATAAGTATTAAAATCATTAATTATCTGTTTACGTTACCGACAGAGGCCTCCTCCAACTTCCTCCATTCTTTTCTTTCTGTTGCCGTTCATGAAAGATGTTCATATAACCCCAGGTTATTTTTTTGTTAGGAGCTATTTCTATGGCTGTGGACGAAGTGAATGAGAAGTTGCTGGGACCGATGGGACATTCTTTGGAATTCATCGTCGCTGAGACTTACGGCCAGGAAGAAGTTTCCATAAAACAGGTGGGTTTTTAATGTAGTGTTTATATTTGAATGAACTTTTTGCTGCGTCCAAGTCTGTATTGATAGTCTCGCGCACTAAGTGAGGATTTTATGGCCTATAGATCAACGTTTACTACAACAATAACTCCTCTGAATAGGATGGACATTTGACGTCAACGCCGAATGGAGCCTACACACGTTTATTTCAATTTTCATCTCATTAAATCGATTGTATGAAGGGTAACTGCAGAGCTGTTCGTTAATTATTCGTATAGTATTCTCCATGTTTTTAATGTTTCCATCTAATCCAAACACCTCTCCAAAACATACTGTCACAGTTCTTATTCTTTTGGTAATATCCGTAATGATATGCATAAAAGTTTAAAGTGAAAAGCAACGGAAACCGCGGAGTTAGCACATCTGGCGCCTTCGTCGCAAGTTTGGATTTATGTTTAAATTTAAAACTTTTCCCCATTTATCTTTTAATATCAAATGCTGTCTCGGCCTCTGCAAACTAATCAGAATTTGTTTTAAGTAACGTACGTTTTACAACTAAAATAAAAGGGATTACTTAAAGATTATACTAAAAATATTATAACATGACTCGCAGATGATTGAAGGAATACCTTAATAAAATGCCGTAACACACTTTTAAAGTCATAAATAATATAAGGTGCAGTATACATGCACGTATGTTTCGTTTCAATTTTTTTTTGCTTTAATTCAAAAGAAGTCACGCTCCATCTCACAACTTCGTTTAATTATAATAATAATTGTCGCAATTTCATAATTATTTGCGTGGCCGAAAGATTTTAAATATGTCTTTATGTAATTACACCGCGGACTTCCACTATGAAATCAAAAGCATGAGCGGGATAGCAATAGTGTCCTTATTGTTTATGCCTGTGTTTTTGGGCAATTAAAATTAATTTTAATTTGGCCAATTTCCGTCTTTAATTGACAAGTTTTGTCACTTGTTTCATTATTTGCGTTCGATTTTAATTTTTTAATTGTTATTTCTTTGTTAAAACGACATTTTATTTACCATTTTTAACTTTTAATCTCACGGAAGAAATTAATAAATAGCATATTTTTTTTTATTTTATCCAATTTCAAAAGCTAAATTATTTACATGTATAGTTTTGTTTACATGTTAATCATGATTCTGGTGATGAACAATATTGATAGAGATCTTGTAATCTATACTTCTATACTATTATAATAAAGCGTAAACAAACACTTCTTTGTTGCCTAAGAGGTCAGCAATTACAGCATATTTTTGAATAATACTTTTTGTAATAAAAATCCCTACACTTACGTCACGCTTTAGGCTATATATTTTCACGCCATTAAACTTAGGGGGTAAATATTTTGGATAAAAACCCTAATGGGGGACCATAAGTTGCTGCCAGCATCAAAAAAGTAAGATTGCCAAGGTTTGTCAAGTCATGTAAAATTAAATAAAGTAAAATAAAATTCTCACAATTTCATGCCGATGAAGACACACGGGAACAGCTAGTGTTAAATAAAATTTAATACACATCTTACAATTTGCCGACCGTGAATTGCAAGCATAAAGGATTTAAAATGTGGCTATATAATTGAACGTGTAAATATTATCATGTACATAAAGTGTTACAAATTACTGGACATAGCGCTCTCCAGAAATAATAACTGCGTTATTCCTGAATATCTCAATGACCCAGTAATAGCGGCGATTTGAAGGCAAAACACGCGTTCAAGTCATTCAGTGGACGATTATACTAATACACTTTGCATAGTACATGTAGACGTTATCTTCTTAATACGTTTATTATCACGTTCCATTAAAATTAGTCCTTCTGTCGTATAACTGCTTCTCATGACATTTCTTTTCTTATAATGTTAGTTTAGCCGTAGTTTGTTTTAGATTTATTTGTAGTTTATTTTACTCTTAATTTCACAATTTGGACAGCATTTTATAGACTTTATCCATTCCACGTTTAAAAATAATGTTTACTGGTTTTTTTAAATTGTTTTTTTTTATATTTTCACACCATTGAATCTGACTTTATCAGCTAATTTATAAGGTCAACGATTTAAACAACGAAAAGCTTTTATGAAAGTCCGATGAAATAAAGCATTTTGAAAAGTTTAAAGTATTGCGTATTTGGTTTATTAAAAAAATGTCATTTTTAAGAACATGAAATCAAACAATATAAACAGAACAATTATTATATAGTCAAGTATATAATACAACGTATGTACTTAACAAGAACATTATTCTACGTCACTGCCAGTTACAATGACGCCGCCTCCGAATTAACATTTTGAAGATTTATTACTTCGTTCATTTCTTATAGTATGTATGTAGTTTATATAACAGACGTGGTAATTACGCATATTATCTATGTCTTTGTGACCAAGACAGAGATATCAATTGTTTAAAATGTAAAATAAAATAACGAATAATTAATTTACTAAATAATAATTTATAAAATAATAAACTACCAATAGACAAGACATAATTGTCGGAAGCTCGTGTTGCCACAGGCGTACATACCAATAGACAAGACACAAAATATAATACTTAAAAAATTTCTTAGTAGTGTAATTTTCTATTATACTAGTAAAAGATTATAATAAAGTCAAATTTCAAAACACTCGCTACTAATAACTCCATTATCTTTAAGTAAAACGTATGATAAAGTTAATGAAACGGCAGAGTATTGAAGACAAGGCAACCGTACTCTTAGCCGCGTATTTCTAAAGATATTCGATCATTCTTGTCGTAAATGTCGATTTTACAGGCACATATATCAAGTCAATCTCCGTGCCTCGAAAATATGACGCAATTCCCTTATCGAAAATGATATCAAGGAACATTCGGAGCTTACGATTCTAAGGCGCAAGCCGCGAGAGCCTCGGGCAACGATTGTGGGGAGGCAGATGCATTCATTTAGAATTGATTTTTCTTACTTATTCGTCCCAATAAAGCGTCGTATAATTTCGTAAACGGATACCGTATCTTATTCTGCATTTTGTATCGTATATCATACGATTTAAGGTCTTAAGTTTTTTAATTTCGAAATCAAAACTTTTAAACTGATTATTCGTAACAATGTGGATATAAACTTCCTTTTTTGGTTATGTAAAACGGTATTAAGTATTATTACAAGGTTCAAATTAATGTTTTACCGACAAAGGGGTGACAGATGTATCATTAACTCACCTTATTTGTGTTAAATATACAATTTAAATAAGCAAATGATATAAAAATGAGTCATGAAATGTTTTTTTTTATTTTTATTCGCAGTGAAAATGTTAAATGTAACTTATTAAAAAGCTCAAGTCGCTGTGAGATTTTATTGCCACTGTCAAGAACTAGCTTAGTCTTTATATGTCGTAGTGTTAGTTCAGCAGACAATGGGGTCGTATTTTTCTATTTTATTTTACATGCCCATACAAGCTTTGTTACAGAATACAAAGTCGTAAAACAATTTCGGCCGTAAGGAATATTTTTATTACATGCTGAGGTCAAAATATTAGGTAACTTAAATGTATTAAGAAAATTTTATTGGCCTTGCTTATTCTCAGAACATGAATGATGTATTTTACTATGTAAACTCTGCAGTAATTGTAAAATTTAAAGATTTTAATTTCTCTTATATTGCGTATAATTTTGATAACAAAAATTTACCCCCATTACCAAATATGTAATTAAAAAAACGAATTTGCATTTAGCATGCCTTTAGCCTTAACATTTATACATAAAATACTTGAAAAAATGTAAAAAATTGTTTTTTTTTATTTTTTTATAAGTATGGATTAATATTTATTTGTGTTCAGGTCGCGGCTTTGTGGGCATCCAATGTATCCGCGTTCATCGGTCCGCAAGAGACGTGCGTGCACGAGGGCCGCATGGCCGCCGCCTTCAACCTGCCCATGGTCAGCTACGTAAGTATTGCATCACACCATCCACGACTCGACTCGAATCAAGACCAATACACACACTTTGATACGCATAAAGTGTTTGTGAACATCGGGTATTCTTTTTTTTAAAGTGTTTTCCTTAATCATTCCAATACTTAATTAATGACTACAGTGAGTACAATAAATTGTGGTAAAAGAGGAATAAATAATTCTTATCCCAACCACAAAAAAAATTAAGGTGGGTAGGTAAACATAACTTTGTTGAGGATCTTCTTCTGTACGTTGGTATTGGAAAAAATAGCATTTAACAGCAAAATTACTACAGATATAATGTAAAGTGAACTTTGTCAGAATACGCGACTTTGCACAAATGAAGAGATAAGAAGTAGGTCGAATTAGTCACTGGAGAGGACATCTCACGACAAAGTAGACAGCGAAGTACTAACCAACATTCCTTGAATGTATATAATTACCTTCATTAGTACCACAACAATGGCAAAAATTCAACA